AAAGATGAAATGAGAGTCTGTTCCTTTAAGCCATCTCAGAACAATTTAGAGTTAGTTCTAAATTGTTAGTTCTAATTGTTAGTTCAAATTACGTTTGTGGACTTATATGCTTTAAAGTATTTTTAAAACAAATCTTGAGGGAAATTCAAGATTTCAGCTTTTGGTCCTCCCCTTGACTGAAGAAAACAGCTCTTAGATACTGTGGACCAGCTCTGTGGATGCAGCCAAATTCTCTTCTTCCCCGAAAGCCAGTAACTCCCTTTGAAGTCCCCCGTGAAGCAGAGGATGTAATCAGAATGTGAACGTTTACATTGTGACTTCCTTTGTAAAGGATAAGTAGGCCAATTAAAGCCCAAATACTTCACACTGAACTCAGGGAAACCAGGAATGAAGTGTACGATCTCTGAGTCTTCATGCAGAGACGGGGCCACTGTGACTCCTCTCTCTTTCCCTCTCTCTCTGGCTGTCTGTCTGTCTGTCTGTCTGTCTTCTCTGATTTCCCAAACAGGACCCTCCTGGGAAAGGCATGAGCAAAGGCTCCTTTCCTGGTGTTTCCTGGCACAGGGTTCACCCCAGCCTCACCACCATCGCTGCCTGCAACAACCCTCTGCCCTGTCCCCACCGCCAGGCCGCCTGTCCTGCCACCTCCCCTCCCACTAAGCCTCTTGACTCCATAAAGGAAGGAAAGTCAGAATGAGGATTTAAAGATCAGTAAAATAACAAAGGAAAGGCAGTCCTGCCTCCACATCTGTATTTTAATGATAATACTACATATCAACATACAACAATTTTGCTGGGAAGCGATCACATGCCAAGTGCACAACCAGTAGTATATAAATGATGGAAATGACAGAAAAAAAATCACCTGTAAGCCAGCCACTCTAACAAGTGAAATAATTTTATTTATCTTTACTCCCTTCTAGCCCCTGCCCAAATATATTCCATATTTATATTTTACAGAGCTTTAACCACAGGGTATGTGTAATTTTATATTCTCCTTTTTTCATTGTCATTGCAGAGGATTAGGAAATTTTCCTCTGGTTACAGCATAGCCTGATAGAGTATATTGCTTGTAGACTGAACACACTAGGCCTTGAACAAATGAGGCTCCCTGACCACCTCTCCTCCCTCCAATCACCACAAAAGTTCTTGTACAATTCATTCTAATATGACTCTTCTTCTGGTGAACTCTTCAGCCCAGTAGGACTATCAGATTTAG